AATGTCAGTCTTTGCCTTCAGAAGCAAAATGTCTAAGCATTTAATACACTTGTGAAATTTATTTATTTTTTTGTCTTTTATAGGTAGTTTATTTTTTAATTTTGTAATTATTATTAAAGTTTTTATTTAAATTCCAGTTAGATAACAGTGTAATATTAGTTTCAAGTGTACAATATAGTGATTCAACACTTCCATACAAGACCTGGTGCTCATCATGGCAATCGTACTCCTCTTTAATCCCCCTCACCTATTTTACCCGTCCTCCCACCTGATATTTCTGCTTAGGTTTTGGTAGGTTTTTTTTTTCTTAATTTTTAAAGGCTTATTCATTTTTCAGAGACAGAGACAGACAGAGCATGAGTGGGGGAGGGGCAGAGAGAGAGGGAGACACAGAACCTGAAGCAGGTTCCAGGCTCTGAGCTGTCAGCACAGAGCGCAATGCAGGGCTGGAACCCATGAAGTCGGATGTTTAACTGACTGAGCCACCCAGGTGCCCCTAGGTTTTGGTACTTTTAAACAAAGATCACACAGTTTTAGAGAATAATGGATTAGCCTTGATAGGAAACAGATACAAACCAGGAGCTTTGCTCCTCTGCTTTCTCCTGTTAGCTCTAGCCCAGCCACACCTTGAACAGTTAAGATTTGATGATAACAACACTGATAACAACACATCTTTTTTTTCTCCTGGGATTTAAGATGAGAGGCTATCTAGTGTGAATCAGTGTGTGTGTGTGAAAGAGAAAGAGAGAGAAGGGCACAATGGATATGCTTGTGCATTTTTCCACCATTATGACTAGTCTTTCAGGTGCAGGACTACAGAGAATTTATTGGTGTTTTACTGAGTTTATAAATAGAGTTTATAAATAGATTATAATCTATTTAATAGTATAGTCTCATGTTAAATACAAAGGTGGGGGGGGTGTGTTTCAGTAGTGAAATCACACATTTTCTACACGTTGCATGACCTTTCTGAGAAGTTAGTTCAATATGTAGGAAAACAGAAAAATTAGCCTGACTTATTGAGGTATGGATTATCTGATATGGTTATTAAATCATGATTGGGACAGTGCAATAGAAGTTATTTCAAATTATGCATCACTTTGAACAAACTTTATTGAAGCCTTTACTGCATTAGCCCTAATTACTCACAATAATGACGCAGTGCTCCCTTGAATCAGACCCTTCACTGTGGCAGGGGACTGTGGCTGATCGATAGCTATTGAGCAGTTTGATCACGAAGGCTGACCTGCCGGAGCACCGGTGGCAGCCACGGCCATCCCTCCTTCCCGGTAGCTCACAAACTGACATGTTCTCAGTCTGGCCTCCCTCTCCCGCAGCTCGTCTTCTGCCTCTTCCTCCAAATCAATAACTTCATAATCAGCATGCTTCCCAGACTCCGAGAAGCTAAAAATTGCCTTAAACAAAACACACCCTCCCCCTTAACCCCCACCCCCATCCACCCACACACACACTTGAGCTAGAAAAGACATGTTTTTTAACTTCTGACCATATGCATTTCTCCCACATTATAATGTTGATAAAATAAGGTGAGAAATGTCCCCCCCCTTTTATTTAACAAAGATCACCTATTTGAAAAAATACTGTTAGGACTATAGACTGATTAATTATTTGGCAAGTATTTACCAAGAGCCTACCACATGTCCGTCAAATGTTTTCCATTTGGTTGTTAACTTCCAAGATGGAGCATGTTTTTCTCAGATGTCTCCCACCATGTTTAGTGCTATGTAAGTACACAGCTACCGTCTCACAATGATTCATTTCACTCAGTGATTACTTATTCAGTGTCTACTATGTGTCAGGGGCCTGTACTAGATAGGTTAGTATTTATTGTTATTATTTTTATTTCAGAGAGAGGTAGAGGGGGAGGGAGGGAGAGAGAGAGAGAGAGAGAGAGAGAGAGAGAGACAGAATCCCAAGCAGGCTCTATGCTCAGTGCAGAGCCTGATGTGGGCTTAATCCCACTACCTTGGGATCAGGACCTGAGTTGAAAGCAAGAGTTGGATGCTTTACTGACCCAGCCAAGCACCCTGTAGCATTCATTATTTTAAAAGGAAAGGAATTTCTAATTAATTGAATTCTTTCAGTATATATATTTTTTATCTCAATACAGGATTTCTCAAATTAGTTTTTTTTTTCTAAGATACTTAGTTTTATTCTCCTTTCCTTTCTCCTCCCTCAGCCCTTGTCTGGATCTTCAAAACCATTCTGTGAAAAGGAGGACCTTTTGAAAATGGGCCAGAAGTATGTCTAAATTCCCTTGCTTATGGCCAAAGATAAAAAAGGGACTCTAAAGAAAACAAAAATGAATTGTTTCATCACAAATATATATGACTAATGCAGAAGCATACAACTAAATGAAATCAAACCAAGATACTATTTACTGCCTTTCTACTGTGTGCTTTCCCATAGTTAAAACATCAAATGATGAGTTTTTCCTCACTATTCCCTAAAAGAAGTAGGGGCCCATAATTAGGGAGAAAGAAATCTGCCTTTTCTAATGTTGAGCCTGTGATAGAAGTGAGATTCCACTGGAAATCAGGCAGTAAATCAAGAAGTTTGGGTTCTAATCCAATTGCATGACCTCAGGCAGATCTCTGAATCTCGGGAGCAATCATGTGTGAATCACATGTGAAACAGGGTATTGGACATGAGCCCAGGCTGTGTGACCCTAACTCTCTCAGGTTTGTGGGAATCCATTTATCTGTGGGGAGTGGAATCTCAGGAAGGTCTGGCCTCCAGCACCTGGGGAAATCTCTGGCTGGTTTTCTCCCCAAAGTTCTGCCTCACAGCCTGAGACCCGGAAATGGACCAAATCTGTGAAATTCTCACGAGGGTCTCATTTTAGCACTGCCAAAAATAAACAGCCCATTCCCGCATCCTGAAACACGAGAGCTTTGGCTCAGCTCTGATTACCAGAGAGGCAGGTTTAAAAGTTTAATACCCACCTGGTTTCTACACCTTTTTGGCATATTTGTAAACAACTGAATGCAAACAGAGGAGGCAAGCCCGTGGAAGCAGGAGGTCCCAAGAACACATTCTCTCACTCTGGATGGAAAGAGCGGAGGGGAGAAAAATGGCGGACCACCTGTCTTTTGCCCCTGGGAAATATCTGTGCTTGGCAAGCAAAGGCGGAAACATACAGGCTAATTTCTAAATCCATGAAGGGAGGTCTCCAGAGCTTAGCCAACAAGGTTGCATAAGTAATTATCTGCGTGGATAGTGCAGACCCCAACCCAAATCTTTCACTCCAGCCAAGTGATCCCTTCTCAGAGTTCCATGCTTGACACCAGCTCCCGTGTCCTGGACTATGTCCACATCACTCCCTCTGCCTGGACGCTTTCCTGCAAAGGTAGCACCATCTGTCAAGTCTCAGATAACTTCTTCCTCATTCACCTACAACTTTCCCTCTGACCTCTTCCTGTTTCACTGCAGCCATCATTTACCTGGCATTTCCACCAAGAACTTTTCACTTCACACCTAGCGTGTGAAAGGTGGGTAGATTCATGATCACACTTAAGAGACTATCCCATTCCTTCTAAGCGATATTTCTCAAACGGCTGAGGAGAACAGCTCTTCCAAGAGATATTAAGAGCTCTTGCCAGAAAAATGGGTTTTGTGGTCAGACAAGATTGTGAAATTTGGTGTCTCTCCCTCCTGGAACCTCAGAGTACACATTGATCAATTAAAGGATCTGAAAAGCCCTATGGAAGAGAAGCAGGTATAAAGCAGCATTCCCTATATTCGCTTAACTATATAAATAGCTTTTACCGCAAAACACCTACTAATACTTTGCAGAACTCAATTTGGGAAATGTCACTCCAAATATTTCCTACTGCTATTTCAACTGGGTGCATTTTCTAATTACCAATAATTTCCATGAAGGAGGTAGGTATGAAGACAAGTTGAGTTCTCTGTTCAAAGCAACCTGGTCACTTAGAAGATGAGTTTAGAATGAATATCACTAAAGAGTCTCCTTTTGGGCTTCTAAGTATAATAGGCATTTCTAAATACTATGATATGCTTAACATTTACCAATGCATTAATTCCACAATGTGCCATCATTCTGTGTGCCACGAAGATAGCAAGAACCTAAATCATGGCTTCTACCTCTGAGGTATGTACAATTTCATTGTGAGGGAGAAGAAGTTAAGGGAAGACAGTTCTGCAGTCTCTGAGTAGGTAGCAAATGCATGGTGCAGACACTGGGTGCTGTGTGCATTCAGAGGAGGCTGGGCTTTGAAGTTCTGTGGGATGGGGAGATGGGGATGGGAGTAGAGGAAGCCTGTCCTCAAAAAAAGGTGTTAAGCCAAGTCCAAGGCCTGCCTTCTTGGAACAGGGAGGCGCTGCCAGGAGATTATGTGGGGAGCAGAGGAAGGCAGAGCATCTGGGATGCCTGAATAAAGATTTTATATTTTATCAACTGCTAGTGAGGAGTCTGGTGGCTAATGAGGAATTCATGACATCACGGGGTAGGATGAATCAAGGCCTTGGGGAAACTCTGGTTGCCATCTCTCAACCCCAGTGAGCCAGGGAGCAAATAAAATGCAGTGGTGAAGAGCATGGCTACTAGACCAAAGTTGGAATCCTAACTGCCCACAGGTGTCTGGGGGCAAGTTTCTTGACTCTTAGCTTCCTCTTCTGAAATGAGGACATAGGTATTTATTTCACAGACTTATTTCATGAGTTACATGTGATAACATATGTAAAGCCCTTGATGTGGAGATTAGGAATTACTAAGGCTTGATAAAAAATAATTAATACTGCTATCATTCAGTTGCCACTCACAGGCCTCTGCCCCCAGGTCCTGAGCTCATCTCCTTCCTTTCCTTCCACTTGAAATCCAGTGCTGAAGCATTCTCAGTGTCTGTGGGAGGTTGACTACACAGAGAACCTATATGCAACAGCACACGCCCAGTGGGCCTTCCTTCTGCATGCCCACTGTCACGGGGATGAACCGAAAGCATTTGAGAAGTGCTCACCTGCATCGGACGTTGCTGCAGAAGCAGCAAGGAGAGATAACACTGGGGTTGGTGGGATTGCAACACTGTCAACTGCGGCTGGCTTCTTCCTGGTCATCATGGTGGACGCGGAGCCCTCGTTCTTACTATGTGGTGCCGTTTGGTCCACTTTTAGGTGGGGACTTGGCATTCCTAAAAGATAATAACCCCAAAGCTTTCAGTTACTTGAAAGGAACAGGAAAACAGACAACAGAAAACCTGAAAGTGAGTTGAGGAAATGGTTAAATCATCTGATCTCCTTCTGGTCCAACAAGAATGAAATTTTAGAATGTGTAAAAAAAAATGTTAGCAGCATGACTGGTTTTGGTTTTGTGGCTGAGATTAGTGGTGACAACATTCCAGTTTGGCTGCCTGGAAGTGGGGGCACAGGTCCAACGAAGCAGTAGGATTTAGCAGGTACCCTTTGTCTTCCATGGGTCAAGGAGCGCGTCTTCACAGAGGCTGTGCTGTGTGCGGGGTGTGAAGGGGAGAAGCAGGCCCCACCCTAGCTTCTCATCGCACCTGGCTGGGGAGGCCAGACTAAAGGAGAAGGAAAAATTGGGTAACGCATAAAGACAGGCTTGTGCGTTGTTCATCCTTGGTGCTTGGGGAGTGCTAAGGGGTTAGGGATTAGTGTGGGGAGAAGTTCCAGAGCTCACGCTAAAGCACAAGGAAGAGGGAATGGCTTTCTCAGTGCCGAGAAGAGCATATGCTAAGTTATGGCTGGGGAGGAAGTTGACTCAGATGAGAGGTCAGTCTGCTACAGCAGAAGATGCCCTATGGGGTCTGGTGTGTGACGACAGTCACCAGGCTGAGTGAAAGTTGATTTGGGGGCTTTTCGGGGTCTCTGGTCCTAATAAGCATCATAAGTCTTGTCTTTGTGATGTGGAAAAGAACCCCTGTGAGGTGCCTCTGTAAAAGGGCCTGGACATGTACTCTATAACAAACTGTAAGAGCTATTCTGGAACCTTGCTTCCTGGGATCGGATCCAGGCTCTCTTATTTCTTAGCTGTGCGATCACAAGCGAGTTACTTAACCTCTCTAAGCTTTAAGGTTCCTTACCTGTACAAACGGGGCAGAACAGTATAACCTCACAGGGGTGGTTGAGAGCATCCCTGAGTCAATTAATGTAGAGTGCTTACCACAGTGCCTGGCACACAGTCCATGACATAGAAGGGCTTCCTGCTACTATTTATTATTCCTATAATTACTACGGCCAGTACTGTAGCCTGCTGCTTCCTCAGGGCAACTGAAATCAGCTGGCAAATCTGCTCTCTTCTCTGACTTGACCAAGGATCTCTGGGCTCCTTCAACAGCGCTGGCTGCAGAAAGGTGACTCTCCAACTCATCCAAGCCTAAGTCCAGAGGCTAGGGGTATCTGATCCAATGGTCATCTACACAGAGTTTCTTCATTTCTAGGCTACCTGCCACCCACAGCGCCAGCAACAAATGAGGCTTTATCACAAAGTTCTTGACCCTTTGGTTCCAACCCAACCAGCTTGAGTTGTTCAGTCCCTCTCCCAGAGAAACATTCTGTCACCACCACAGTAAGGCCAGCTCAGGTAGGCCTGATGGCAGCCCAGTGAAGTGTGTAGCACGGAAGTTACTATTTGCTTAATTTGGCAGGTGAGGAAAACACATTTCTGAGTGCTTAAGAGAAAACTGAATAAACGCACACAGCCCTAATGTCAGAGCTGGGATTTTGCAAGCAGCAGATGCTAAATCCTGGACCCATGGATCATCCTGGCCCAACTGGTCATCTTCTAACACCTGTCCACCACACCACCCTAGTCTGCCGACAGCATAGTTCACATTGAGGGTGCACAGGCCCTAGTATCACACCTGGAAAAAGCACCCACCTGTAACCATCTGAGGAAGAAAGTCATGATGACATTTTCATTTACCCTACTACTACCGTCCTCCTATTCTCCATCCCGCCCTCTGAAACTCCCCCTCTTGTGCTGCAAATAACAATACCATTTATGCTTCCTTGGATTTTATATTTCATAGCATTTTGACAGTGGAGGTAGACAGACATCAAATCCTATGACAGGAAGATTGCAAGGCATGACCATCAAGAAATCAGGAAGGGCAGCAAATGTGTATAGTATGCCCATCTGAGAGAAATGCAGGCGTGTCAGGGATAAGTTAGACACACACATATAACCCAGGTAAAATACATACAGAGTCACCCACAAGGGGATATACGCAAACAGTTAACAGTGGTTATTCTCAGGAAGGAGGGCACAGGCAAGATTGGTGAGGAAGAAGAAGGAGTTTTTACTTTTACTCCCTAGCCTTCTTTATTGTTAATGTTTTTTAAACCACAAACATCTTTTTTTTAATATTTAAAAAAATTTTTAAGGTTTATTTTTGAGAGAGAGAGAGACAGAGCATGAGCAGGGGAGGGGCAGAGAGAGAGGGAGACACTGAATCTGAAGCAGGCTCCAGACTCTGAGCTGGCAGCACAGAGCCCAACGTGGGGCTCAAAATCACAAACAGTGAAATCACAACCTGAGCCAAAGTCAGACGTTTAATGGCCCCTAAACCACACACAACTTAAATTCTTTTTCCTTTGAGAAAATAAAAAGACTTCGGGCGAAAATCTAGAAATCTACCAGAGCATGGGCTTTGGGGTAGATTGATATGCTTGACCAACTGGCAGCTAACAATCTGAACTGGGGACAGCACACCGGGTCTGATGGGGATCCCCCATTTCGGTGCTCTCTACCACCAATGTCATGCTCCCATTCAACAGATGCAGGTGTGCCTTTCCATAGCACGCCTCTGGAATGCTGAGCCATCAGAGGTCTGTTGGATAACAGGTCCTTTGGAAAAACCCACTGATAGATATGTCGTCTTTGTACCTGTGGACACAGGGTGGGCAGGTAATTCTTTGCTCAAATTATGACATGCTCAGGGAACAAGCCATAAACAGGATTAGCAAGTGGATATTTAACTATCACTTGGGAACAAACTGATTTCAAGTCATTTTCGTTGTACCCATTTTCATGCAAATGTTCACAATCCAAATTAGTCTCAGTCCACATCATTTCATTAAAGTCCATTCGATCATACCTCTATTGGGCATACTTTGCTACTCAAGTGTTTATGTTAAAAGTAATAAAATGACACTTAGAAACTCTATAATTCAAATTGTCACTATTTAGCTGTCTTGAAAACCCTAGATAATTTAGGATTTTCTAGATTATAGTACTGTTTGTTAGTTGCCATCCAATGAATTTGAAAACCAATTAGGAAAAAAAAAAAGAAAGAAAAAGAAAAAAGAGCCATGACGTTTTCTCAGACATTTTTGGGTTTTGAGAGGATTATGGAAACAATCCCAGAAATAGCATACATGAGCAAGTATATTAGATAAGCTTTCAACAAAGACTAATCTAGCAGCATTTGTAATCCACAAAACCTGCCTGAGAGCACAGGGCTTCGGGGACTGGAATGGGTGACCCCTCATGGGAGAGAGCATTGGGCAGGCGGGCCACCCCACATCTTTGTTTCCCTTCATTCCAGGTGGCAGCTGATGCCCCATGGAGAGGTGCCTAAATGTCCAGACAGGTGTTAAATAGTTCAGAACCAAGTTCTCAGAGATATGGGGTGAGGGCAGAGTGCTGGGGCATTTGGTAAGCTTCTTTTCAGCATGGGCTGGCTTCCTTCTCTCCATGGGAGGGAGATGTCTGAAGCTGGAGGTTCACCATTAAGGAAACCCAGATATTTGCACTGTGCTGACTGAGCCATTGAGACATGTCACTGCGACTTACCCTGGGACCTGAGTAAAGGTGGGCATGGCTTTGATCTGGGGAGGGATTGCTTTTCAATCCTGGACAGCAGACTGTATAGAGAGCACACGTGGTGGATATGTGTTCAGAACCTCCCTAAACCCCAACACGGGACAAACTGTACTGAGGCTTGCACATTTGGAGGCCAGTACATTTTTAAAGGAGGAAGTAACAATGCTAATAACTGTGGATCCAACATCTGTTCATAATTAAAAGACAGAGCCAAGAGGAAATTTTTTTAAAAAGTTAAACCTATAGGAAAACATTCTGCTAATAACCTGTTGACCTCTATTGATACATTTTTTAAAAGTCTTTGAAACTGTGCTGTAGTGTATCGAGGGACAGTCACTCATTTTCAAAGGTAATTTCTCATAGACTACTTATCCCCTCAAACCTCTACCTGCACACCGTGTTTGCATTAGGGACTTGATTTATGGATTCCCACTCCTCCGATGCAGAAGCTGACTTCCTGTTGCCTTGGTTACTTGGAGCTTAGTTCAAGGTTAAAGTACTCCCGAATCAGAATCAGTGGCAGGCGCTGCATCTAGCGGCCAGGTTATTGACTGCCCCAGGATGCGAAAAGGTCAGAGACCAAAGCACTGTTTACTGCCTTAAGGGTGAGTCAATAGCTTCAATATTTTGATTCTGTTTCCTCCAAAGTAGTAGTTACTGTTCAATTACCTCTTCCCCAGGTTGTTCAAGGTCACTGGGGTCATGGACGAAAAGCAGGGTCTATGGTGGCTGACTTTCCCAGGATCCCTTTAATGAGCTCTGTGACCTTGGATAATAAAAACCAGCTTCACCTTAGAGTAATTTGTATGTTGCTCTAGGTTTATAAAGCTACTTTGTCTTATTTTCTTTTGGGGAAAACAAACAAACAAACATAAATCTTAGTAGGATGAGTACAGTACAGTCCCCTTTTCTAGATGAGAAAATGGAGGTTTAGAGAGGTTGCGTCACTTCCCTAAAATCACACAGCCAGTAAGAAGTGTTAAGAACTAGATTCTGACTTCTAGAAAGGTTCTCATCTCACAATTTCTTTAAAATAAAGGGGCTAATGGAATTATCACCTAGGGATTATATGTAATTCATTTTGTAACATCCACTGCAGACAGCAGTAGATCTAGAAAATGCTATGTGATTAATATGGTCTTGTTGAACACCTTCATTCATTTTTTTAATTATCTGATTTGTAGATGCAGATGTTTCTTGGTGACAAAGCTTAGCCTGGAAGAGCAGGAAAGCCTGACACCACTGAGATGGTGGTTGGATTCTTCAGTCACCTTCCTGGCCCCCTTCATGCTGCAGAATGCAGCTCTTGGCATGCAGTGGGAGGTATATGATATTGAGCAGTCATCG